AGCTTCAAGACTAACATAACCACTACAGCTTCTGGCAATGAACCTCTTCCTAAAGCTGAGTCTGTGCTCACAGAAAGCTTCTCAAGTGGGATTACCCAGGGCAGTGGGCTGGCACAGTGCTGAAACCATAGACGCACATGTAAGCTCTAAAACTTCCCATTTAGACATGACCCAGGAGTTCTAAACCAGGGTAGGCAGAAAAAAAATGCATTTCTATCAATAAAAAACAGTCACTAGGACTTGGGAGGAGTAAAGTGAGGAGTGTTCATGTCTTGAGGCCTTGAAGACACTCCTAGGGAAACAGATTCATTTTTAACTACCTAGAGGTTTTTTTACTTATAGCCACAGAGTCTTACAGGAGAAGGTTTTTGATCCTTTAGTACATAAAGAAGTAATCTAAGGACAAATATCTGCACGCTCCAGACATACAGCTTGCAGGTTTGTCTTTGATGAGATAAAAAAAAAAAAAAAACAACTTTATTTGTGCCATGTTGGCACAGGTTAGTCTATAATATGACCACAAGCTAAAGCTAAGTATATAGGAACAAGACTCCTGACATTAGAAAATCTGGACAGACAAACCCAAAGCATAATGTGATTCTGCTGGTGGAAAAAATTATCAGTATAGAAAGAGGGTGCACATTTTAACAAAAAACATAAAAAAAAAACACATTTGGATCTGGCTGGATCCAGACAAAAATTTTGTCTGGAATCTGAATTCCTCAAAGAAGGGAGTACACAAAAACTGTTTTTAGTGACCCGCTCACGCCAGTTTAAAGTTGTTAAAATAATGAAGTCTAATCAAACTGCAGAAGGAATTAAATGATGAGGTTGACTGCAGTACCAGAAGCATGGCTTAAAAACCTTTTAGTTTTCCATCCTACTTTCCTATTTCTAGAAAATAATGCATTTACTTTGAAAAACAACAGGATGGGATTCCTCTTCATTGATGCTTTTAAGGTCAAATGGGAAAACTCAAGTGTTATTATTTCTCATAAAAAATTAATACTGCACATTATAAAACTGAAATACATTTTCCTTTGCATGGCAAAGAAGCTTTTGAAACTGTTAGGGATAAATTACTTGTGAAGTGAGTTCAACAGAATTTGGTGGAAAAAAAAATCTACCACCAAATAATGCCTATATGACAAATTGCTTTCTTGATTGCTTTCCTCTACACTTTGGAACAGATGCGAAGAGAAGCTAAAGCTGCAGAGGTTACATTTCGCCTCAATGTAAAAATTAATTAAATGGAATATCTGCAGCCTAGGTACAACTTACCTTTCAAGACTCCTTGGGCCAGGCAGCTCTACTCCAGAACACTATAAAGCATAGTATGTGAGTACATTTGTACAATTTAGGCTGCATAGAAGTTTCCAATCCTACAGATAAACACAGGACTACACATGCCTGAAGAATGACTTGTATGTAAAAGTTATACAAAAGCTTCATTTATAATGTTGAAAATCTAAGTGGTAACCATCGCCATGAACCACATGTGTAAGAGGAGTTAGCTCAAATGGAGAAAGCTGAAGCAATATTTCAAATATACTCCTTTCATTTCAGCACGTGAGTGCTATCTCACGTTAGCCCTTCCTCCATACATGAGGGAGGAGAAGAGTAGATAATAATTAATAGGCTTGTATTGCCCTGTGTTACGGAGGCTGACGGCTTCCCTCCTCGTGACAGTGACTTTGAGCATGAGTTGTGCTGTCATGTAACAGGCAGCCCTTTTCCCTTTTTGGCAACATCATTCATTTTTTTAGGCTTCTTGCTGCTCCCATGCCCTAAGGAGGTTTCACACATGTTCCAAGATTAACCAATATATTTTGCTTTTATATGTAAATTCAATTAATTTTTGCTCTTTCACTTTCAGAAAAACTAGCTAACAGCAGAGAAATTAAATGAAGTGAAAGAGCAAACAGCATCTGTGATGTTTCCCATGACTGAAGGTCCACTAGAAGGTCTTGCACTTGCCATGTTTTGGCATTGCTGCCTTTCCATCTTACATCTCATTTCTTATCAGTTTGATCCTAACTTTGACCTGAAAATAGGTAGCAGGTGGCAGATATGACTGCAAGAAGGTTCGTACTCCTCCCTGAATCACTGAAATTGCTTAGTGAACTCTGAAACCATCAGTGATTTCAAGAGGTTTCCCAACAAAAGCATCTTAAATATAGCAGCTGTTCATGCTAACTAGGCAAAATGCACATGATACAGCATATAATCCATATAAACTGTTACATGAATTGAACCTTATCTGTGCAGTACAGTGAAGATGTGCCTAAGATAGCCATTAAGTGAGGTAAGAAGCTGTGTTTGACTTGGTATTGAAAGGAAAGCACTGCAGAGCCATATCACATTGTGCAAATACAGACAGAAGTCACACAGAACAAGGTAGGTTTGTCTTAGAAGGCTGTTACAAAAATACACTGTTGAGCAGATAAATATTATAATGATAAATTTGATTTGATAGTTATTTTCTGAGTGTGGCTCAGATTTACTTCCCATTTAGTAACAAATGAATGTTCTGAAAACTTAACTTGCACTATCACAGGCAAGGAAAGGTTAAAAACATATAGCTTCAACCTTCCATACATTCAATCTTCAGAGAAGATAATTAATATCACATGTACCATGGGAGTTTAGGAAACTACTACTACTACAACAAAAAAACAAAACCCCAGGTAATACCTACAAGACTTGTGAGCTAGACTTGCTTATAAAACTTGGCTGACACCAGTGTTGGCTTTGTGCTGTCCCAACACAAGAGCACTCATTTAAGTGTCCAGCTTTTGGAACTGAGCCTTGTGTTTGAAGAAAGTTTGCTTTCGGAAGCCACCTCTCAATTCAGCATTTAGCATCCTTTAGCAGTTATCCTCCTGATCTGAACAAACATTCAACTGCAAAACTAGATTTTTGTGAATCAACACCAGAGCCTTTGGAAATGTTCGTGTTGCACATGACTGCCAAAAGAGTGTCAACTGCATTTTACAGTCTTCAGATTACGCAAACTGTAATTATTACTGATACTGAAAACTAATTTTCAATGAGATATTACTTTCTTCTCACTAGAAGAGAGATAAATACTTGACTGATTTAACTCTTGAATAGAATACTGATGTTATCACTGTCCAGCCGCAATGGAAAATGAGTAAAATCTGTCCTTCACAAGAGTTATGCATAGAACAAGTACAGATGCGTATACATACCAACACTCTGAACACAGAAATGGGGCTGAGCTGCAATTTTTTCTCTTTTGAATGAAAATGAGGATTAAATACAAGGTACATTTCAAAACCGACTTGGAAAATACCTAACTCACATTTACCTTCTTTATTTTGGCAGAAGAGAACTTATTGGCCCATAGGAGCATTCAGACCTATGTCAGCATAGTCAAGGTCTCCTGTTCTTAGAGAACCTTAATAATGTATTTCTAAATATAACTTTAATGAATAAAACTAAAAAATAAAAAAAGGGCATTTCAGTAGAATTTTAGCTTCATACTGGGCAGAAACAGGTAGCTGAATAATTTTACGATTTTATGGAAACACAGAAATGAAACGGACTGTCGCCCATGTTAAGACAAACAAATTTGTGCAACTAGAAGAATGCTGCAAATAAAAAACAAAAGTACTACCAGCGGCATGCAAATCCTGCAGTGTTTTTGGCCTTGTTAGACGCATCTTAATACAGGGGTCTTTTTCTGGGCTTTGTGTATCACCTAAATAAATTGTAGTGAAATACTATACACCTCTGCCCTTGAGAGAATATCAGCAAAGTCCATGGTTAAAAACAGTCAGGTAGGTACCACTAAGTCCCTTCACTTGTTCAGTTTCCTTTCCCCTACTTTTGGGATGCAAAGTACTTTTTGCTTGAGTATATACAACCGCTATGTTTACACATTCACACAAGACTTGGCAGAGACAAATATCTGCCTATTCATTATAGACTCTGCACTTCACAGTTAAAGGTCAAGCAAAAGGAAAAGCAAAACCAGATGCAAAGCCAACTATAATGGGAGCTATATAACACACAGAAGTACAAAACAACAGGTATCTTTGGCAACAGGCTTTCACATAAAAAAGAACAAGAAAATAAAGAGAAAGCACAAAAAAGACTTAGAAAAACAAGCATTGTTCTTCAAAAAGCACAGACAAAACAATCCAAATGACATTTTAAAGTGTACCCCAAAAGCAGAAGACTTAAATGCATTACAGTTTCTAGAAATAAGAATAAAAATGACACATTGGATATGACCCTTTGCAGTATGTCACTTCACCTGAAAAATTAATACGAATTGTGTTCATCAATAAATGGATTTTCTTCCAAAAATTTTTATCTCGGCTAATATTTTTTTCACATATTTTTAACAGTCAATAGAATTTATGAAGTGGGAGAGAGGAGCAGAACATACGCACAGGTGTTCTAGCACAAACTTACAGGTGATAGAAAGTTCTGCTCCACATTAATAACTGAAAGCAGCACATCTTTACTCTGTAAACACAGAGCAAGGTCACTCATATAATGAAAAATATGGTTTTGTGTAAACTGAAGGAAAAGTAATAAATAATAAAAAAGATACTGTGTAGATATTATTATCTCTGAGGTTCTGGACAACAAGCATTTCTCCCCTTCTTTGAGGGGACCACTCCGCAGACTGAACACTCCGCAGACTGTTTTTATATCATGTAGTTTTACTTGTTCAAGTCAAAAGTGGAGAACCATGAATATTCTGGCTTCAAAAAGGAATAGCACTAATCCAAATCTTAAGGAATCAAGTTTCCTAATGGCCTGTTCTGCTGCAGTGCAACGTGCTTTATTAGCACAGAGACTGGGGGATGTGTTCTTCTGTTTCAATCAACAAACGCAATACAAATCCCTACATGCACCTACAAAGGTCCATAATACATTTTTGTGACAATAGGCAAAGGGTCATCTCGCGTGGCAAGAACAGCCTCCAGAACAGAATAAATATGTAAGAAAAACATTTGACGTACTTGGATCTGACAAGATTGAGTCGGTTTTCGGCAAAAATTGGTCACAGCGGACTCCTTGGTAGCCCTCTTTGCACCTGAGAAAAAGGGGATAAATGACAAACATACGCATGCGATAGTAAAAGGTTAATTTCAAGGCAGAAAATCAACTGAATTTTTCCCTGTCAGTGCTGTGAGGGACGTGCATATTTAGAGTTATTTGAATTATTATAGAAGCAAGTTTCTGAAACAGACAAGGACTACACAAAATAATCATTATTTTAAGGATTTCCCCGCAATTATTTCTGGTTATTGTAGAAACTATCAAAAGAAATGTCAGTTAAGTGCAACTCTTCTTTTAAATATTAAATTAAACATCAGTTAAACAGCAAAAGAATAATCTTCACTCAAATAGACATTCACAGATAAAATAAACTCATTAGATGAAACAAAGCTTTATAAAATTTCTGTACTGCGCAAAGCCATGAGATTTGCAACGCGTTCATCTTTGGATGTTTGAATAAGTAGTGAACTCTTATCCAGCCATTTATTTTAAGACAAATTCCAACTGTATTTAAAAGATAATATGTTCAGGCTTGAAAGGCAATATCAGGCATTGCTCCTAAGTGAACTTTCTTAGATATCCACAGAAATACATTTCAAATTGTATAAACCAGAATATCCCACTGTCTTAATAAAATCTAATTTGCTTTGACTAGAATTCTAATACCATTATTTATCTTGAATTCTTACTTTAAAAAACTCCATTTAATGCATTTGGGCTGTTCTTAGAACAACCCCTTTCATTTCAAATAAGCATAATGAAATCAGGCCTTTATTTATTCACTAAGCAGTTTCACAAAGAAAAGTGATGGACAGTTTAATTATAAACGATAGCAACAGGGACTCCGTATCTCACCAAGTTCCTGAGCATCACCCAAACAATATGCTCAAATCAGAATCAGTATCTTCATTAGGATTGACAACTGTAACTCGAATTCTGTGATAATGTCAGGAACAGAAGTTATCTATTCCTTCACCTTTCTACTCAGTCTTCCTCTGAAAGTCGCCTTTTAAATGCTTTTCGGTTAATAAATTAATACCTTTAAGAGCATCTTTACCATAATTGATACAGGGATTAGAAAGCGTATTTGTGAAGAAATCTATAAACTATAACAATTCCCATCAGACCCAACAACCTACACTAAGAGGAAGATTTAAAAATATTGATATTACGTCAAATCTTGCTTTTAGCCTTTTTCCCTTAAAAAGGGAAAGGCTTTTTTTGCTTTCTTCCCAGTGGTACTTCAGAGATCAGTTTTTCATTGGTAATTATTTATCTGTAAAACAGACTGTAAAAAACAAATTCAGATCCTATGGCAGTGGTCACAATTTACCACTCAAGGAAAAAATGCTCTGAAGATTTTTTTTTGTCCTTTTTATTTTCCATGCAATATATTCAATTAAAAGATGTCCATTAGTCAAAAAACTCAATTGAGTCTCATAAACTCAGACACCACTGCATGCACTTCTTTGCATCCAATTATGAAATACCTGACCTCACATGGAACAGAAACTCATCGTCACATTCTTGTGGAGGTTTGGTAGTGCTCATTTCCAAGCTAAAGAACAGCATTCAAGGGTGGCGATATTCTTTTCTTTGCGCTAGCATTTTCTATTAACATTTTAACAGACATTTGTGCCAGTCCCACTTACCACCCTATTCAGACTTACAACCAAACTGTTGGTTTGCAAGTCATACAGATCATTCATCACCTAGTCCAATGCAGCATTCACAGAGCAGTAACCACCTGCAGGAGCTGAACTTAACACATATTAGCATGATGCACACTACCAGGCAGGGCAATGCTGAACAATGCTATCAGTACCCTTGTACCAGCAGGATTAGCCCTTTCATTCTCCTCCAATAGTCATCAGGGCCAGCAGAGACAGGAGTCTACTGCCTTCCTTCCATATTATTCCACACCTTTTATAACAACCTTTGCTATCTCATTTCACAGCTGAGTAAGAGTCTGTACCATTTATTCCAGCTACCAGTCAGCCCTGGTTAATTAATTGCTCATGCCAGAGTTGAAGGAGAAGAGTTTGCTGCCAGGGCATGCAACAAACTCCATGTCACTATTCCAATCCTACCAACTGTCAGGGGCCAAACATCAGTCTTTTACTTCAGGAAAATATTTGTTCTATCTGGCACGTTGGGCTTTGAATATTCTCATTTCCACTGAATGCTGTTTTTAAGAGTTTCTCAGTTGCAAATACTACAGATGCATATAAAGTTGATGGCCTTGAAAATGGCATGGTATAAGACCCCTCTAACTGGTAAAGTATTGCCCAGGTGTAGGATCAAGTTAGATGTACTTCTATGGCTTTCACTTCCTAACTTCGTAAGAGCAGCGGGTTGGAACAGAATGTATCACAGTCTTCTCATCGTACACCTCCTGCCTTGTAAAACTCAGCATCTCTGGAACCCGACTGTGCACTGCTGCTACTATGCTATGCAGTGTGGAAATAATAATGGTGCTGTGTTTCTTCTCTTAAAAATGAATTGGCTGTCTCATCAAACTATTATTTCTACCTCGACTATATCCTACATACACTGTTGCTACTTCAGTGTGAAACTGAAGCATATGGTAATCAACTGGTTGACTGACTTGGATGAGTCTAAAGTAGCATTTTCACTTACCTGTACACTTGGATGAACATGCCAAAACAAGCATTTATTTTTGTTGTTTTCAAAATTGAATACAGAGGTGGCTGATAAGGAATAAATAAGATACTTTAATATAAAAATGTAATGCTACACTAAGCAAACTACTACAGCCATACTTGTGTTTTAAACAATGTTTCAATAAAAATAAAAACTAAGTTCCCTAACTTCATTATCAAATGATTTTTGAAATCTGTAAGACAACAACAAGTACTAAGAATAACTGCTTTGTCAACATCACAAATTTCATATCTTTGTAAAGCAGTTTTGTGAAATTGAAGCCTTTTAAAATATACATTTGATAGTTATAACGTTGAAATACAATAAAAGCTGATGTTGTGGCAAAACCCTACTCACGGCACAGGGTAAGTCAACATGCTGTTAATTGGCATCACACCTCTGAAGGAAAAACAAACAAAAAAACCCCAAAACAACAAAACAAAGAAAACCCCTCTTACAACTATACTGCAATTACATGCTTTTTGTCACACTCATAAGTATATAGGAAAGTCCAACCGAAGTCATTAAACACTGCCACACAGTGCAAATCATTGCATTTATATTTGTGGCTGTATTAAAAATAATATCTGTGAGCAATCAGGAGAATCTTGATAAATACTAAGATACAGCTGACTGTACAAATGATCACTTCATTATACGACAAGCAAGGGTTTATTAGCAATGCCTTCAGAGAAGAAAGGAAGCAATAGTAGGATGAGATATTGCTCACAGTCAAGTGAAAGCTCTGACCTGCACGTGAGATTGCCACTTTCAGCTATGAGCTGGAACTGCAGTGCGAACTCCAACTCAGTAACAGAACACACGTAGATCCTTAGAGCTGTGTTCTATTAACAAGCTTAGGCATATACACAAGTGCAGACCATGGTGAAAGTCTCCATAAACAGAATTACAGTTTAATAGCAAATTAAATCTGAGTAAGCAATCCACTATTCTTCACTCTGATTTTCACCAAAACAATTTTACTTATCTATGCTTGAGACCAAAATTATTAACAATAATTGTTATGATTTAAAAGTGGTACGAAAAAAAATCCTATGTAAAGCTAATATGAAGCTGCTAAAAATCCTGGAATACAGAACATGCTGCTAAATTCAGACAGGATTACTTAATGTTGTGTTCTACACATCTTGCACTTGGTAATGTAATTTCTCAAAGATGGTGTTTTTTTAAGTTATCAAGACAAGCTTTACTGTGCGTTGCACTTATGCAGTCACTCACAACCTCCTTTCTGTGGAAAGCTACATACAGTAACACATTTCTCACTCCTCAAGGTAAGGTGTTTTGGTCCTTGCTCTACTTAAGCGCATTTTCACGTAGAAATCAAAAAGCACAGAAATTATTTTCTCATCACACCAGTTAATAGCCACTGTACCAAAATACAAACGGCTCGAAACCACACACAACTGCATCTTTTATTTATTCTCTGAGTGAGGTATCAGAAATCATAATAAAGAAATGTTCGAATGGTCAATAAATCTTGATCACGTACTTATTCACACACACAGCATACAACACACTCTATCCTGGATTAGAGTGTCAGTTATGTAACAAATATGTACTGCAAGCCGTGACTTTCCTTGGGCCATTGGGTTGTATCAGAGCCATGTGTGGAATATGCTACAAACAATGAAAAATAATTTCTCTCTTGTGCAAGCAGGCTGAAGTTTGGCTTCTCTGCTTCCAGCTGTAATGACCTCCAAGGTAAACAACAGAAATTTGTATGAGGATTGCTTCAAAAGCAATGCTTCCTACTTGATTACTGTGGTCTTTCCTACCCTAAATCTCCAGACAGCTGATCCTCTCCACACCACACAACTGTGACCCTCTGATCCTGCCCACTGGATCCCTCCAAACAGCTCTCCAACCCCAAGCAGATCAACACTCCTGCCCAACCTGGCAGTCGTCACATACCCACCGAGCGTACGCTCAGACCACTCCCCACCAAAACTACCAACACAATCTCAAACACAGCCAGTCCTAACCTCAAGCTCCATGGAAGACCACGTTGCCAGCTGCCAATCACATCCAACACCATCCACAACAACTTTGACATTCCTCAACCCACCAACAGTATTCCCAATCCAGCCATAAGCAGCCAGCCTGTCCAAGAGAATGCTATGGAAAACAGCATCAAACACTTTGCTAAATGCTGAAGACCCACGTGGGATATCATGGAAGGAGATCAAGCCAGCAAAGCTGGTCTGCTCACTTGACTACAAACACAAATCAACTGGGTCTGGCCACCCTATACATGCTACGTCCTTGTATTATTCCTGAAAAAGAAAATAAAAAAAAGATATTCCATTTAATCACAAAAAACATGGGGAAAAATAATGATAATGAAAAATA